TAAAGTAAAAATATCAGAAAAATCTACTTGAGTACAGTAATGAAGTATTTGTACTTCGTTCCTTCCCATCTCTTCTTATGTGTTATTTTTCTATGTTTGCTTCTGTCTCCTTGAACCCCAGTGGGCCTCAGCAGATGGCCACTCACACTGAGCCTGGTTCTGCTGGAGGTTTCTTCCTGTTCAAAGGGAGTTTTTCCTCTCCACTGTCGCTGCATACATGCTTAAAATGAGTGTCTACTGTCACCACGTGCTCATCTAGGAGGAGCGAAGTTAATAATGTGATGCAATGATCTGAGTTTCAGTAGAAAGCAAACATTTAAGCAATAGGTCTTTAGAACGTGATGAATTGTCTCTGTAAAGGAAGGAAAACACATCATGCTTTACATGCAGTAAATGTTGCTGTTGGTCTTAGAGCTGACCTCTCAGTTGTCCTGCTCCTTCTGTGCTTTTATCCAGAAGCTTCTCCTTCCAGTCGGTTTTCAGCAGCTTCTCAAAGTTTGGCATTACTGTTAACAGAACCAAACAGGCACTCAGCTGAACTTTGCTGCACGGCTCTACATGACATAAAACAACCTCCTCTGACAAATAAAAACACCGCTAACAGCCCCCCCCCCCACCCGGCCTAATGGCACTGATTGGAGCAGACGTTCAGGATGTCGAAGGCCACAGATTGTTTGTGCATCAGGGAGAAATCTGGAGAGTCTGAGTGGATCAATATTTGGACTGAGAACAATCCAAGGTCACAGAGGGGAGGGAACTTTAAAAAATAAAAAAACATCTTAAAACAAGGAGTTCTGTCTAAAAGGCAGAGCCAGTAAATCACTGAATAAAATGAGAGAGAGAAAAAAAAACCCACCCTCAGTCCATTTAGGTTCCTCACAGCACCATAATGGCTGCTTTGAACAACCATACAGGTAGATCTAAAATATATTGCAGATATCATTACAAATCTAATTTATTCCATTATTCAATCCAACAAAATGATCCTGTATATCATACATACAGGATATTCACTACACCGACATATTCTATGATTCAATTTCTGTTAAGATTTCATTCTTATGGCTTTTAAAACTTAACATCCAGCCACTAAAAATATATTGCCTGCTTTCAATTTAATTTTAGTCAGTTTATTTCTATGGCTTCAGTTCAAATCATGTCATCTTAGGTTAATTTATAGATCCAGATCAACCAGATCATCCAGTCAGATTGATTCAAAGTTTTCTATCTAAGGAAAACCAGCTGATTGCATCGACTCATTGACTCTTCAGCATCCCTCAGACCTGGATCAGGCTGAGCCTGGTTCTGCAGGTGTGAGGGATTGCCATAGAATAACAACCTGATATCTACCGTCTCTACCTGCTCATGCAGGAGAGGCTTTAAAGTCAATGACTTCATGCAGTTATGGTGGATTCCTCAGAGAGAAAACCTTTAACCAATCTGACTATGATCTGGGAATTGTTTCTGGAAAATTGTGTAAATTGCTGCTATATAAACTGAATTGAATCAAATTCCTTTATCATTTACAGTTTAGTGCTTTCATGCAGGAAATGCAGTCAGCACCATGATATAGTTAAAGCTATAGTGGAGGATGTTGTTTTTCTGGGTTGATCATTTAAAGCGGAAGTCTTCAACAGGGGGTCTGCGACCCCTAGGGGTCCATAGAGGTACTGCATGGGGGTCACAAAAGTCTTGGTCGATTAGACTTTTTTTTATATTCCTCCCTGTTTTTTTCCCATTAATTGAAATGTCTTTAAATCCACATTAACATGAATCCAACAGACTGTAGTAAACAGATAAATGGAGGCAGAAGATGTCTTTCAGTCATCAATGCACACACATTCAGAGACACACAGGAGCTCTTTCAAGCTGGGCACCGTTTCATTCACAACACCTGTCCCATCAACCAGGAAGCAGAAATACTTTAATAATCCCAGGGAGGGATTACTTTAGTTACATTACTCCATCTGTAATAGAGTGACTATAGGACCAGTTTGATAGAACACTATTTCATACAATCTATATAATCAGAGGGTCCCCGCTCCATCGCCATCAGTTTGGCGTCCTTGGCCTGGAAAATGTTGAGGACCCCAGATCTAAATCATTGGTCCTGCTAACTGTCAATCATTCTGGTGATCTGTTTCCATAAGGCCGTCCTACATGCCCGTTTTCTGACATAGTGGGAAAATTGCAAATCTTTTGGAAAGTAAGCTTATATGAGTGATGAAAACAGAAACTTTTACAGAGCGTGCACGAGGAGAAAAGGGCTTGTGCACGCTCTCGCACTCGTTTAACAGGCGCTCCTTCTCTGGAACGGGTACAGGGTTGGGCATGTGCATTTTTTTCAAACATTCGTGAAAATCTTTCTTTTTACCTTTAAATACTATAAATAATTCATTTTTCTTTTATTTTAACTGTTGGGCCAATTAATACTAATTTATTTATGTGTAGCCCAGGTAGTGCTGGGTTGGTTTCATAGCAGCTAATTGCTGATCTTCAATGTTTTCTTCAATGTGTTCTTTTGATCGGAGCATAAAGAGGCTCTCTGTGGTTTAGCCCAGACCACCATCTGACCAGTAAGACTGAACTGGTTTCTGTCACCTTGGGAAAAACAAGAAAGATGGAAAATGGAGACGGCGCTGAATGTGGAGGCGACGCCCTGGACCATAAACAGCTTGTTTTCAATTCAATTCAAAAACACTGAAAGGAAATTAAATAAATTTAATTCTATGCTTCAATCATTCATCAGACTATCAGGCCTTCATTTCAAAGGATGTACAGATTTTATTTCCATCTGAATAGATCTGTTTGGAGCACAGCTCATCTGTTAATGACTGTCTCCATGACGACCATCGAGTCACCAGCCTAACCATGACCATTCTGGCCATCACATTTCTATAACTCATTGTTTCTGTATGAAACACGGAATATTTTTTATCTTCTTTACATCAAATTCAGATTTTCTGAGTTTACGGTTTTTATTAGCTGTCAGTCGATGAAATCCCCTCAAATAAATGCCTCAGTATGCAATGACCGTAATACATGAAATAAATGAGCTTCACCTTTTGAAATAAATGTGATGACAGCGACTTTATTCCTCATCTGACTCCAACTTCTCTTAAAGATTTGATATATTTACCCACAAACCCAAGCAATAAAACCCAGAGACCGCACCAAGCTTAAAGAAGTAAACAATCCAACATGGCACCGCGGTTAAAATAAGATGATGGACATGGACATTTTATTCCCATTTTAGGCATTTTAACAAATTACCAGCTTATATTTAGAGGCTGGGAAGCCACCAGACAGCTGAACTGTTGAAAAAACTCAAAATCATTTCCCATGCATCACACTGATCACACAAAACCAAAACTCTGCAGATTTGCACCACAGATATTAATGCTCTGAACTTCCAGATCAATCAATAGGTTTTTTTTGCACCATGATTTTTCTCCAACACTGTTTACATTTGATCACTGCTGCACTTTAAGGATGGAAATTTTTGATAAGCTGTACTAAATGAAATTTCATTTTGTATACACTGTGTTTACAAAATGTCAAAGTCTTTCATCTTCTAAGTCTTTTCATATTCTGCTTTCATCTGCAAAGCACTAAAACGGTCATATTTGAGCTCTTAAAAATGTTTCTTGTTTCAATATTATTGGAAACAAAGAACACATTTATAAACTGAAATTTGAAAAAAAAAACAAAAAAAAAAAACAACGAAATTAAACTGTGAGAAATGTTATTTAACAACAAAAAAAGGTTTTTGAGCATAATTTTGCTGCTTTCTCATATTTTCAGTCCTCTGCAGCGACGGGTGAAGACACATTTCTATTGCGCTGCATTTTTATTGCAAATTTGAAAACTAGCAATTCTTAAAACTGAACCTGAAAAACAGAATAAAAAAAAATCTATAAAAGATATATATTATTTGAAAAGCACAAGAAAGTCTAATTCCTGATGGAGATTTTTTCCCCTCATTAACCCTGTCTGGGAAATGGGACTGTATTAAAAACATTTCCTTCCAACACTGGTACATCTTCCTGGGTGTGAAACATTCCCACCAATAAGAGGTGATTTTCAAACATGGCTACAGACCTTCCTTGATTTTTGATTGGGCCTCTGATTGCTCATGAATCCCAGCTTCCTTCCCTCCCAAGGGGCTCTGCTTGTGGGGTAACTCCTTTCCTGGGGAACCCTCCTATAGGAACATAGAGCAGGGAGAACATCCCGTTAGGCTAATATTAGAAGAGAACCATGCAGGAACCACGGCCCCAGCATTGCTCCCCAACAGTAAAATCATCTGAATCTTCAAAGACTGCATATCCAACCCCTGAATGGGATCCTTACTGAAGGGGAGCGTGACAGCGGTGGGGTCAGTTGACGCGCCTCTAGAGACTGGTTGGCTGACCACTCCTGCAAAGTCCCCGGGCGCTCTGAACTGGTTTTGGCTCCGCCTCCTCCGTTGCATTCCTCCTGTTCGACTTTAACACCGATTTCTGCCATGTGTGCATCCCCACTGGAGAGGAGGTGCAGAGCTGAAGGGCTGGGCTCAACCATTCTGTAGGAGGAGAAGCAATCACATCATTGTCCTGTGGGTGTGGTGAGCTGCTGCCAGCCTAATTGGACGCTCATTCAATAGGTGGTTGTTACTAACTATGACTCAAAATAAAAGTCAAATAAGACAATGGAAAGTTTTAGAAAGGCCTCATTTCATGTGCTGACAAATTCAAGCACAGTCATAATTAGAGGTTAGGTCACAAACATGAAAGGATGAGCAGGTTTTTCTGTACCTCCCTTTTAGCCATGATCAACATGAGGAAGTAGATCCCTAAGGAGAGTGTTCCGGTTCAATTCTATTCAGTTTATTTCTATAGCTCCAATTCACATCATGTCATCTCAGGTCACTTTACAGGCAACCAGCTGATTGCATCGACCCATTGACTCTTCAGCAATCCCTCACACTAAGCATACTTGTAGCGACAGTGGAGAGGAAAAACTCCCTTTGAACAGGAAGAAACCTCCAGCAGAACCAGGCTCAGGTTGACATGAACTGCATCGTCATACTCAGGTTACTGCTTTTGCCAAAGCATTTAAAATATATTTCTTTAATGGAATTATCAGCTTTTGAATACTTGGATTGTAAAAAAGCCTGCAAAGATGAATCAGTGAAATCGATATAAAAAACACTAACGTTGTACGATTGTTGTCTGTAAAATCACTAATATTGTTTAACTTCATGACGATATTTTGATGCTTTCAGGTTAAATTTCATGGCACTAATCTGACAAGAACAAAAAAAAACCTCTTTACTTATTTGTTCACATAAACAGTTTTCTTCCATCTTCCTCTGTCTGTACTTAGACCACGCCCACCACAGGTGGGATAAACAAAATGTCATTTTCAAATCTCAGAGGCTCAATTTTTAGACAGAATACATTTAAGAAGAGAAAGCCCAGTGGCGGCTGGCCAGTAGAGGGCGCCGCCCCACCCACCCAATAACCTTGATTAAGTCATAAAAAAAACCCAGAACAAATTAAAATTAAATTATAAAATATTAAAACTGTTAAGTTTTGAAATGTATTGATATATATTTTTAGATGTGTAAGATAAATATTTTATCTTCAATGACAAGTAAAGATGTTTTTGATAGTTTGAGCTGTAGCTGTGTGCAACGATTGAAAGTTTTATACAGAGTATGACCGCTTTTAGTTTGAAATAATTGTAATTTTGATTTTTAGCTAAATCATTGAGCCCTAAGCAGCTTAGCAAAAAAAAAAAAATAGATGGTTTAATTACCTCTTCCTTTACAACTTCAAAACATAACCTCAAACACACGGGTGAAGGTCCTCAGTCCTCCAGGTCATAGTCGCTCCAAAAAAATAATTAAAATCAATCCGCTGGAATTTGTTTCCAAGCTTGAAGACGTTTCTCTTCTCATCCAGGAAGATTTTTCAATTCAAAATGTCAGAAATTACCTTGAGTGTATAAAACCTGGAACTCAACGATATTTCTGACATTTTAAATTGAAAAATATTCCTGGATGGGAAGAGAAACGTCTTCAAACTTGAAAACAAAGTCCAGTGGATTGATTTTTAATTTTCTTTTTTTGGAATAACCTCAAACATGTCATTTATATTCTTATTAAAGTGTTTTAAACCCTCCTGACCTGCATCTGCTTTAGTTCTCATTCTAATAAACCAAACTAGCTCATAGGGACTCTGCTGATAGATTGTTTTATCATTTTCCTTATAATAGATAAAGAAATATAATCTTAGAAATTAAGATTCACCAAAAGTGTCATGGCAGTTGGTGTTTAGTCAGTCATAAAAGATTCCAGGGTCTTTTATTGGATAAAATAAAAACAACTAAACAGGAAGCCTAACCTCGATGAATCAAGTCAAAGCAAGACATGTAGTCTGACTGCATGAGTTTCTGAATAGGAAGGGAGGTGGGGAGAGGGGTTGGACAGGTTGATTGAGAGACGTCCGAATCGCCCCAAACTTGAACAAAAAACAACTCAGGATTGTGTGTGTGTTTTATTTCCAGGCTCTACAACCGGAGGAAAGAAAAACACAGCAGACAGCAGAACAAAACAAACAGAACACACAAGGGCAAAAAGTGCACATATATATAAAGAGGCAGAAAAAGCTATTGTTGGAGCTGGGGAACAAAGGAAGCCAGGACAATGGGGGAGAGGCTGACAAAAGCCGCCGGCCGCAGGAAACAGGCCGCATAACAATGCCAGCGGAATGTGCCGACCAACTCGGGAACACGGTAAAAAAAAATAAAAAATACGCGGAGCGCCACCATTCTGTGGAAAGCATAATAATGACTCAGAGCCCCCTCCCTCTACTTCACTGAGCTCTCCCAGCCTGCACACCCGGTTCCTGAACAAAGGCACCTGTCTGCCAGGGTCCAAGGCTCACCAATGGGTTTCAGTGGGGAGGTGTTGCTGTTAAAGCTGCATAATCATAAATGGCTAGAAGAGCAAAGGAACGGTGAACTAATAACTGAATTATGGATTTAAAGAAAGGAAATATCATTTTCTAGTTGCATATTGGGTAAATCTGTCCTCTGCATTCATCCAAATCATCATTCTGACGCTGTGCTCTCTAACCCCAGGATGCCTGCTGTTTTCTTAGCTGATATCAAACAATATCCCCTTTTAGGAAACTAGCAGTAGGTGAGAGCAAGCATGGCTTCCTGTGATTGGAGCTACGCTGAAAATGTTCGTTTTTTCTCTTCTAGCCATCGCAGAACCTATTTCCTGATGTAAAACTTACACCATAAATCTGTTCATTTAAGGAAAAGTCAGAGAATTTGAAGGTATCCTTCAGTTATCAATGAATCAGCATTACTCTACCATCATTGCTTCCCTAAAATTCTTCTTTCTTTCACAAATTAAACGCTCTATCATGATATAGGAGGCAGATCTTTTAGTTATCAGGCTCCTCTCCTGTGGAACCAACTACCAGTTTTAGTCCGTGAGGCAGACACCCTGTCTACTTTTAAGGCTAGGCTTAAAACTTTCCTTTTTGATAAAGCTTATAGTTAGAGAGGCTCAGGTTATCCTAAGCTATCTCTATAGTTCTGCTGCTATAGGCTTAGACTGCTGGAGGACATAGGGACCCCTATTTCATCATTCTGCTTCATTCTATCTCTATTCTCCCACTCTGCAGAATCTGTTAATTCAATCTCTAACGTTCTGCTCTCTCTGCTTTTTCTCATAGTAGCTTCATCTGGTCTGTTCCTGTTTGGCTGTGACTCCATCCTGGAGAGAAATATCAGCTGTGCTGCTGCCATCAACACCTTTGTTTCTAGATGATGGAGCTTGGCCTGTTTTCCAGTGCAGTCCTGTTTCTCTGACTGTGACTAACTGGATGTGCTCTCTTCATCCTCTGACATGGGAGCTGGCTCGGAGCTCGTCTGCCTGGCTGTGTGTTTCCTGGACGGGGCCGCCTGTGGAGCTGGTTGACAGTTGCCTTTTATATCTATGCTTCTTTTTCTATGTCTGCTTCTGTCTCCTTGAACCCCAGTCAGCCTCAGCAGATGGCCGCTCACACTGAGCCTGGTTCTGCTGGAGGTTTCTTCCTGTTCAAAGGGAGTTTTTCCTCTCCACTGTCGCTACAAGCATGCTTAGTGTGAGGGATTGTATTTGTATTATTTTTTTTTTTTTGCTGTTGTTGTTTAATCCTTTAATGATGGAATAAAGATCACTTTAGACATTATTAAAAGGAAAATATTAATCTTACAGTCATAAACCTCTGACTGAGAAAAAAACCTGTCATCAAATGCAAAATTATTTCTTTTGTCAAACTTTCAGCATCCTTGTTTGCTTTTTTTTTTTTTTTTCATGTGTTAACTGCAATAAAGGTGCAACGAAGCCTTCAATACGGTCGAATCTGCTGCTAAAACCAGCAGCAGTAAGGCTAAAACAATTAATCAAACTGTTAATCTATTATTAGTTATTTTGAATTCTGCCTAGGGCCTTCCTGATGCGTGTGCTACCTCTAGAATTTAAAATAACAGGTTTACTTTTTATGTGTTTGCAAACTCCTATGTAATGTTATCTTCTTACTTAAGATTTTAACAAAGTTATAAATACTTTGGTCGTGAGAGGCTGATCGCCCCTCGTTTCCCCCTGTACACTACATGATGCATGACGCACCATGAGGCTGAAACTTGGCCAAAAAATTCTCTCAACTGGAGAATCGGACTGAAAAAGGCGGAAATTGGTACAGTGTATGCCCGGCTTTAAACAGTATTTATTTGCGGTATAATCTTACATTAACATGCGTATACATACGTATCTTTCAATGGGAATTCTATTAATAGAAATACCTTATGAGTGCTTGAACACATGAAATAAAGAGAAATATTTAGTGTAACTAATAGTAACCCGCATCAAAAAGAAACAGCCCATCAATCTGTTTCCTGACTTTCACATTAAACTCAGGTCCTTCCACTGATTTCTAGACAAACCAAACAGAATCTCACTGATTCTGTTTGGTATTTTATATATGTATATTATAGTATATTTTTTTCCCACATTCGAAACTAATATAAACATCTAAAACACCCAAATAATGATGGGTAAAATGTCCCATAGAACATGAAACACAGCTGCAGTCCAACTGGAGGCTGATCTCTGGTAAAACAGAACAAACACTCAGCAGTAATTCAGATCCCATTTAAGGCCAACAGTCGTCAACAAGGCGCTTCAAACGCGCCGATTCCCGCTCCGCTCATAACCGGAATAAATCAGCAGCTTTCAAAGTTCTGTTTGTGCCTCATCTAGTTTGACGGCTATTTTCAGGTTGGTGGATATTTTCTGAAGAACCAAGAATGTAGGGAAGGTAGAGGAGGGAAAGTGCTTAGCAAACGTTGCACCGACTTCAGCGAGGGGTTGATTGTGCGACGGCAGGAGGGGAGGGGGGGGCAGACAGCAGTGAGCTGGGTCCCACGCTGTAAGTTATTCCTGGGTCTCCTCTCTGCGTTCCACGGGGACTGTGGTGTAGCGCTGCCACAGGTGGTGTTCACACGCCTCTGAGCACGCTC